CTCCCCCGTGCTTCATTCCTTCCTAGGAAGTGGGATAGGGTTAGGGTTAGGAGTTTTTCACGAGTCCTCTCATTACCTGCATTTGGTTCGACTGGCGAAAAGTGAACATTGACCTGTTCGAGGCAAACAGAACCCAATATTCTGAAACTGTCCCCAGTAGAGCAAGATGACCTGCACCCACAGCTGTGTAGGGTCCCGGCCCTCGACAAAAGGTCAGGGTTCCTTGTGTTTCCTGGGGAAGCCCTGGGGCCTTTGTCTTAAACAGGCTCTTGAGGTGATTTTGATGTAGGGACACGTGGACCCTGCCTTAGTCAGTGTCCATTTACTTTCTAATCGTGTGAACACTCAGCTGACCTGGGCTGGCTAAATAAAATGTTGAGGTAATGAATTAGACGGTCAGATTATCTTTATCAGTTGCTTACCGCAAAGGGGCTCTGCTCTGGGACTCAGCAGGAAAGGTAAGTCTCTGTCTCCCTTGCTCTGTGCCCCACATCCAGTGACTGTAATCTTTTTCCTGTAATGACACCTTTCACGGTGCCCCAGTTTTATTCACTGGGTACCTGTATTGGTCTCTCACTCCAAACTCCATGCTGGTATTTGTCTCTTCCCGAGTCTGGAATTTGGATTCCAAGCTGCCCTCAGGGCTTGGGTCTTCAGGGAGCCTTGCTTGATCCCTGCCATGGAGACCTCCTGAAGCTTCGGGATCCCTGGGTTTTGTGGCACCTTGCTTGCTCTTGCTGTGCTGGCCCCAGGGAGCTCAGAAGCTCTCTCTCCAGCAGCAGCTGATGGGACGAGGCTGACCTGGAGTCATCCCCATCCTAGCCAGGTGAGAGGCACGCGCAGCCAGGAGAGGTGAGCTGGGAGACAGTCTAGCAACAGCGGTTAAAGACCATGAGAAACCTTGCTAATAGTTCTGCAGCTCCGTTTGAATTAGTTGAAGGCTGGTTGCTATTTATTTAGCTTTGATAAACATGAGAGACACGAAGAGGAAGAAGAGACTTGCCCGGGCTGAGCAGCTGCCACCCCTCCCGTGCTGACACCAGGCTGCCCAGTTTGGTGTGGGACTGCAAGCATGCACGATGTCCTTTCCATAAACCCTGTTTCCCGAGGTGACAGGCCCCGACTAGCACAACCATCTGTTTGCACAACTCCCCTCCCCCGCCAGGCTAACCAGAAGTCCAGGCTGCATCACGGCAGTGAGTGAGCTCTACAGGAAGCTTTTCTTGTCCCCAGGTACACGCCCCTCACCTGTGTGGGATGTGGCCCCAGGAGCTCAGGCGCCTTCATCCGTGCTGAGCTCATCCCATGACTAGCCCTGCCCCTGAGGGAGCCCACCATTCAGGTTCCACTATAAGATCTTAGATTTTTTGGTGTGCTTTTAGAAAAATTAATTATTTTTATTATTAATTATGTATTTGTGTGACTGAATGTGTGTGTGTGTTTATGTACAGTATCTACCCTCAGAGGCCAGAAGAAGGTATAGAATCTGGAGTTATATACCAGTGGGTGCTGGGAGCTCATTTGAGTTTTCAGCAAGGCCAGTATTTTTTTTTTATACTTTGGAAAGTGACATCACTTCCTAAGTTATTTATTTCTTTATTTAATTTTTTTTTTTTTTTTCCCTTGAGACAGAGTATCTCTGCGTGTAGCCCTTGCTACCCTGGCACTCCATCTTCTAAGCCAGACTGGTCTCAAACTCAGAGATCTACCTGTCTCTGCCTCTTAAATGCTGCAATTAAAGGCGTGCACCCCCACCGCCTGGCCATCTCAGTCTTAATGTCTCATAAAGTGACTGCAGTTAATGCGTGTCTGTTGATGATTTCATCACACATCTTCTCCTGGTTTTTTACCCAGGGGTTTCCCTTCGCTAGTGTATCCATTTCTCCAGCTGATTGTTCCCCAAGCCAGTGTCTTACCCTACTGTCACAGTTTGCATCCAGAGTGCTGTGGCCTTTGCTGGGCAATTTGGGTTCTTTCCAGCCAGGAGGCAGCATTCAGGGGCTGTTTTCTTGCTGCCTGGGACAGCCACAGAGCCTGGGCTCCTGATTTATCTGAAGTTGGAAGATGACTCCACAGAACATGCTTATGGGTGAGTTAGAATTTAATGTTTATTGATTGTGAACTGAGATGCTGTGAACAGGCCAGCTGCAAGTTTTCTTGAAGGATATTTTACAGTATTTCTTATTATTAAAAAAATAGTTGTGCTGGGTGGTCATTGTGATTTTTGTTGTTGAGACAGGGTTTCTCTGTGTTGTCTTGGCTGCCCTGGACTCACTCTGTAGACCAGGGTAGTCTCCAGACTCACAGAGATCCGCCTGCCTCTGCTTCCCTGAGGACAGGGATCATAGGCGCACACCACTGCGCCTGGCTCATGGTGAACGTTTTTAATCCCAGCACTCAGGAGGCAGAGGTAGGCAGATCTCTCAATATGAGACCAACTTGGTCTATACAGTCTGTTCTAGGACAGCCAGGGTTACATGGAGAAAACATGTCTTCAAAAACAAACAACAACAAAAAGAAAGAGGTTGCAAAAATAACCAGAAGCCAGCATACAAAAAAAAAAAAAAGTCTCAGAGGCCTGCCTGCTGTCACACAGGAGAGGTAGGCAGAGGCACACAGAGTGCCCCTCCCCCCCCCCCCCCCCCCCCCCCCCCGCCACAGTGTTTCGTGTTTCATGGCCCAACTGCAGCAGGAGCCATCGTGATGTGCAAGTACGTGGTGGAGAGATGGGAGAGAAAGAGAAACAGAATGGGTTGAACACTATGAAGAAAGGCAGAACTGAAGATGCAAGGGTGGAGAGGAATAGCCTGTCATGGAGCAGCCTGATGTCACCTGAGGCCATGGTGAAGTCCCAGCCCATGCTGCCGCTGAGGGCCATGTCTGGGTCCATGACCATGCAGAAGCAGGGGTCTTTGTCGATGTCTGTGACTCACATTACCACTAAAGAACATGTTGATGTCCTGGGCTGGGCTGCCACCTGGGGCCATGTTGATATTCTAGGGTTGTATAGTGCTGGCCCTGCCCCTCACTGGTAAAGGCACCCTGGAGAGCTGGCCCCACCCCATGCCTGGGCAGCAGGGTAGAGCTGACCCTGGTGGCTGGGGCACAGGTAAGCTGGCCCTGAGCATGCGAGAGCAGGAGAACTGACCACTACCCCTTGCCGGCTTTGGCTTTGGGTGAGCTATCTGGGGCAGTGCTCGAGAGCTTGCCTGGTGGTGAGGGTGTGAGAGAGCAGGAGGGTTGACCAACTCGGCTACAACCAAGGCCCAGATCCTGGGTTTAAGGTGGCCCACCACAGCATCTACCCCATCTGTGAGCTGCTAGAGCACGCAAAGGAGCTGATCCTGCAGATGGAAAGCTTCAAGATCTGCGTGACACAGGGCAACAACAGGCCATCCGAGAGGAGTCCTGGTGAGAATCCAGTGATGGTAGTGTAGCAGAAGCTGGGGGTCTCGAACCAGACTCACGACGTACTGCAGCGGACATTCGCAAGCAAAGAAGTGTGGACAAAGGCTATACTGTGGGACACACTACAGTTCCCATAATGAGATGTTTTGTGTTTTTTTGTTTTTTTGTTTTTTTTTTTTTTTTTTTTAATTTGCTTTTCTTTTTAGGGGAGAGGTTGTGAGGGTAGAGGGTGGATTTGGAGGGATGGAAAGGTGAGTAGGATTGGGGTGTATGATATAAAACTCACAAAGAACCAAGAAAAAGTTTAAAAAAAGAAAAAAAAAAGGTCTCCAAGTAGACTCTTAAAATCTATGCTGCTCTATTTGTCAGCTTCCATGGCATATGCAAGGGAGAAATGAAAATGGCTTCTGTAGAACTGTAAAATTCTAGAAGCTGTGGCTCCTACACTCTTTCCTTCCCCTCTTTCACAGTGTTTCCTGAGCCTTGGGGGGGGGGGGGAAGGTCAGGAGACATCCCATTTAGGGTTGAGTGTTACAAGGTCTCTCACTCTCTGCATATTGTCTGGCTGTGGGTCTCCACATTTGTTCTAATCTGTGGCAGGAGGAAGTTTCTCAGATGATGGCTGATTAAGCCACCAGTCTACAGAATGTCATTAGGAGTCATTTCATTGCTATGTTCCTTTAGCAGAACCAGCATTTGGCTTTACCTACACCCCTGGGTTATTTGGTCTCAGGTTCTTGGTATGGGTTCCATCTCATGGAGTTGACTATTGGTCAAATCGGATATTGGTTGGTAACTCCCATAAGCTTTGTGCCGCCATTGCCCTAGTGTATCTGCAGGCAGGTCACCATTATAGATTGAAGACACCAAAGACACACGGTCCTCTAAGTCAACAGGACTGACACACACATGAGCTCACAGAGACTGAGGCATGCTCTGCACCTGATGGGGTCCTAGAGCTGAGTGGAGAAGTGGACACAGGCCCCCATCCCTAAGGCAGACGTTATATCTAATTGATAGCCACTTGCAAATGAAAGTTTAATTTTCTGCGAGGGAGGCTTGCTGGGGAAACAAGCTACTCTTATGGGAAGGCTAGATGGCCAACAGAAAACTCAACAGAACCTTTGGAGGTTTCTCATAATGTTGGTCAGGGCTCTTTTCCCCTCTCTTTTTACATTTCATTCATTCATTTATTCTCTCTTTCTCTCTCTCACCTATACACACTCACTCAGTCACTCCAGGTCATTTGTATATATATTAAGGCTTCCAGTTTAGTGTTTTTATGGGATTCCTGAGTGTGTGAATGAGTGCATCTCCATATCTTTATCTTTTTTGTCTTGTCTTGGGCTTTTTCCCCTCTTTTGTTTTGCCCTGTTCCAATGTGTTAGTTTTGTTTTATCACATTATGTTAGGTGATATTGTAATCTCTTGGAGGCCTGTTTGTTTTCTGATGACAGACAGAGAGTGGGCAGATCCAGGAGGTAAGGCTCTGAAAGACTGCGTCAGAGGGAAGGGAAAGCATAATCGGGGTATATTATGTGAGGAAAAAAAACCCAACCTATTTTCAATAATAGGAAAACACAATCTAGATTCTGCAGGGCACTTGGAATATCCAACTTTTAACTTTTTAGGTAGGCTGCAGCCCACACTGAGCAGCTTATACCATGATCTCTAATATCTGTTCTTCATTTTGTTTCATTAATTAAAAATATCATTTGCAGTTCCAGAGAGATGGCTCAGCAGGCAGTGATGCTTGCCAACATACCTGGTGATCTGAGTTCAATCCTTCGATCCCACATAGTGGAAGGAGACGCTCAAATCCTGCAAGTTGTTCTCTGGCCTTCACATTTGGGTAGTGGCGCATGTGTCCGCACCCCCACCACGAATACACAGTAAGTCCATGTAACAGAAATTAAAAAGACAGGATTTGCAGTCTACTCGGTCCACTTTATTTCAGTGAAAATCGAGCTGTCTGGAGTGTAGAAGCTCTGATGTGGCCAACCCTGCCCACGGGTACCGGGATCTTCTGCCCTCACATAGGTGCCTGTTTCCTTGGCCCAGCGGTTTGTCCCGGATTGCCTGGAACTGAGGGTTTTCTGTGATATAGGACTTCCAGTGCCCAAACTAGGACAGCTGTGGGCAAACTGGGGTGGCCACTCAAGGGGACAGTTATCTTCTGCCTCCTCTGGTAGGTGAGTAGGTAGCACCTAAGCACCATGTGCAAAGGTCCTTAGGCCCAGAGGGCAGTTATTTAGACCATTGGTGTATACCTTGACAACTACTGGGGTGGGATGCATTTCTGTAAGACATCACCCATCGTATGACATCAGCCCCTTCCTGTGTGTACCACTCTCCTCTGTGCTACCAGCAAATACTACACAAATCCTGCCTCCCGTCTCTGTTATTTTCCAACATTGGCCTAGGACAGTGCAGCGGCCTACAGATGTAGCAGAAAGCCACTGTAGCCATCTCTTTTTAAAACTCTATTTATTTGGGATGTTTAGGCCTCATCCTCCCTTCCAACCCCCCAACCTTGAGAGAGAAAAGGTTAGTGGGGAGAGGGGACCAGACCCCTTTATTTCTCCCGGCTATTTAGGGTCAAGGGGTTCTTTTAGGGCTCTCTACCAATCTCTGTCAACCACAGATGCACCTAGCAGGCTCCTTGATGCTGCTGTGCCGGGAGAGTTTCTCTCTGTCTGCTCTAAACCGTCTCTGGCCTCTCCACATCAAATGTCCACACCGAGTGCCACACCGTCTCCTTCTCGGCTTTCGTATTTATACTCGTAGAGTCCTAGCCCACACCCCTCTCCCTGCACACGTGGAAGGCACAGCTGGCAAAGATCTCACCCCACATGTGACAATTAACAGGTGTGGACAAACTATAGCCCAACTAAAAATACCACACTTGGGATTAAAACAAAAGCATATTTATGTAACATAACCGAGGTTACAAAGAAACCAAACCCTCCATTACATAAAAATGGCATCTGGTTGCTAACAGGTGTCTTTTTCATAGATTGTTGATTTTCTGATTAAATGATTGTTTGGGTAAAATAGACCAATAGTAAGAAATGTGAGAAACAACCACTGACTCTCTGGATACAGAGTTTGGAAGATGTTTCTCATGGTCACCCCTCTTCATTGTTCTCCATGGAAATGTCAATTCAAGGAAGGCAGACGGCTTGTTTTTATTCAATGCTTCAGTTTTAGCTTCTAGAAGAATGTTTGGCATTAGGCAGTCTATGTGTTCATTGGATGAATGAATGAACAAATGAAGGAATAAAATGAGGGTCAGAGTGTATTGTTTTCCTCCATTCCTACTGGTGCCTACTTCGGGATTGTCAAATGACCTTGTGTGTGTGTGTGTGTGTGTGTGTGTGTGTGTGTGTGTGTGTGAGTGTGAAGGTCTCAATATGCAGCCGAAGCTTGCTTTCACCTCCTGACCCTCTTGCTCATGGCTTCTGCCTCTCACACCTCCGATGGTCAGAAAGCAAAGAACCAGAAAGGAACTGGAGCTGGGTGTAACCTTGGAGGCCAGCCTCCAGTGACCCATTTTTCCAACCAGGTCAGACGTCCTGAAGGTTTCAGCACCTCACGAGACCGTGCCACTATCAGGGGCCCAGCTGTTTAAACACTCGAGCCTGTGAGGACATCCCGACGACAGCCAAGGCTGCACTCATAGGCCATAGCAAGTAAAAGCAGTGGTAATGGCTGAAGCCCAAGGCCCAGGTGGCAGGCATATGCCGTGCCCTGCTTTATTGTTCCATCCTCCCTATGGGAGTGGAAAGATTTACCAAACCTACCTTCACCAACCTCGTCTGCGCTGGGTGTGGCGGGGTATGCGGGTAATCCTGGTACCTGGGAAGTGTGGGCAGGTAGGTCAGGAGGTCACCTTTAAGTGTATATTATCTCAAGGCTAGTGTGGGCTACCTAAAACCCTATTCCAAGCAAGGACAAACAACCCCCCACCAAGCCAAAGATGGAACAGAAGCCACTTCTGAAAGCACTTCTATAAAATCTTCTTTACATGCAGTTTGAAAGCTCTGCGAGGAGAGGATTTCCATTGTATACGGCCACATCCCCTTCCAGTTAATAACTCAGACTTTCAGGCATACATGTGTTCTGAAAGTCCTTTAGCTAATTTATTTTTGAGACAGGCTCTCTCTACGTAGCGCTGGCTGTCCTGGAACTCATTTGCTGTTTTGAAGAATCGCTTTTGCTCTCCAAAAATGAAGATTTAACACTACAGAAGATACTAAGTAACAGGCTTGATTCTGTGTCAAATTCTTAAGGAGAGACTTTAAAAGTCTCTCTCTTTAAAAGACTTTGAGCCATGACGCAATTTTATAATAAAGGTGTGGCCGCCTGGCGCTGGAGAGATGGCTCAGTTGTTTAAGGGCACTTGCTCTTCCAGAGGACCTGAGTTCTGTTCCCAGCACCTACATCAGGCCTCTCACAACTGTCGGTACCTACAGATCCAGGGGTTCTGAACCTCTGGCTCTGTGGGCACCTGTATTCATGCACACACACTCATGTGATTACAGAATAAGCAAGAGTGCTTATTTAAAACAGCAAAAGGAAGCTGGGTGTGGTGGCATGTGCTTTCATCTCAGCAGGCAGATCTCAGTGAGTTGGAGCCGGCCTGTTCTATCCAGTTCCAGGACAGCCAGTACGTCAAATACACACCTACACATAACTAAAATTAATAAAAAAAAAAAAACCTTAAGAAATATGTCCACCCAAGTGTGTTTATGACAACAGCATGTTCTGATGTGCTTAGTTGCATAAAGTTTCTCTTTCTATAAATAAAAATAATACAAATAATGTGAATTTCAGCCGAGATTGCTGTCATCTGAAGCAGTGCCTGCAGCTTTGGGGAGCTCTTATGGTACTTTATTTATTTTTTTTCCTGTATTTATTTATTCTATGTACATGTAGATTTGTGTGGCTACACATGCCACAGTGGGCATAATAGAAGTCAAAGGACAACTTGTAGGAATAGGTTCTGTCCTTCCAACACGGGGTCCTGGACAGTTCAGGTCATCAGCCTTGGCAGCACTATCCTTTATCTTCCTAGCCACCGGACCAGCCCAGCCTCCCTCTTCTTAATGGGGCATGAGCATTTTCAATAGCTCAAGACAGTCATGTCTTCTATTTCATTATATTATTCATCATCGTCTTGGGATTTCAAACTATTAGGGCAATCTGGTTCTTAAACCTGTTTCATAAACTTGAACAAATAAATTAATTTATTGGTCTCTGTAGCAAATATTTACTGAGCATTTAATATGTGCGTGGGAGCAGAAAGTTGAATGCTTGCAGTCTTGCTGATCTGATATCCCCTGGTAACCTAAGCCTGGGATAGAAGTCAAGAATTGTGAATACTGTTCAAAAGAGAGCAAAAAAGTCCCCACAAGCCATCTGTTAGAGAAAACCTTGCTGCCCACATGTGCTCATTAATTCTCTGTCAACTCCACACAACCTAGCTTCACCTAGGAAGAAGGAACCTTGGTTGAAAAATACCTCTATTAGATTGGCCTATAGGCAAGAAAATGTAGTGGTTTTGTTTGTTTGTTTGTTTTATTATTAATGATTGAAAGAGGGGAGCCCGGCCCACAGTGGGTGGTGTCACTCCTGGGCAGCTGGTTTTATGTGTTATAAGAAAACAGACTGAGCTAGCTCTGGAGGTCAAGACTGTAAGCAGTATTCCTTAGTGGTCTCTGCTTCAGTTCCTGTCTTGAGTTCCTGCCCTCAGTGAGCCACTGTGACCTAGAAGTTGTAAGATGAAATAAAACCTTTTTTCCCCAAGTTGGCTTTGCTCAATGTTTTATCACAGAAACAGAACCAAACAGAACACCAAAACAGGCAGGATAATTCTAGATGGTGCGGGGTGTGTTTTTCTCCCTCAGCCTCCATTAATCAAAGTAGTAACTCATCTTGGACAAGCCTTACCCAGCTCCAGAGACTTTCATCCGAGACGCCAAGGCTCCCTATAAATGGCAATTATGTCTTTTAACACCCTTCTTCGCCCCATTTAATGGAGAAGAAAAGTGAGGAGGAGAAAGATTCATTGCTTAGGGAGGAGCCACCAACAAGGGATGATGCCTGTGGCCTGCTGAGAGCAGCTCTGTCAGAGAGTAAACAAAAGGTGCCCAGTAGCCAGCTTCCCCAGCCAGAGGCTCAGCAGTGAGCTTGCTCCACCATCCTTGGTTCCCTGAGCACCTGAGTTCACAGAGAGGAAACAGCAGGAGATGGGAGAGACCCCAGGAACTCCTAACCAAACCCCTTGTCTTTGTAAGATACAGGACAGTTACTTCTTTGGTCTCTTTGGAGAAAGATAATCAAATAGTATTGACCATATTTCCAGAACCCAAGCAGAATATATGACCTGAAAAATTGCATGAAAATTAAGAAACAGTGGAAGAGAAATTAAAAATCGAGGCTATAATTGAAAACCCTGTACACATGGGACCCTAGGGGCTCACATAGCCAAGGCTAGCCTTGACCTGCTCATCCTCCTGTCTCTATCTTCAGACTGCTGGGATTATAGGAATGTGCCTGTATGCCTCCAAAAGGGATACAGATGACACAGATATGACTTATGGTGCACCAATAAGGCTGCGCATGCCTGTAATTCCAGCCCCCCAGGTCAGTCTGTGTTACACTCTGAGACCTTGTCAGGAGGGTCAGGGCAGGAGGTAAAGAGAGGGAGAGGGATGGGGGGAGAGTACATATGCTTGGGGAGTAATTTTGCATCTCATCCCAGCTATAGGTGATGATGTGAGGGAGGGTCAGGAACAAAGATTGGTGAAAACAAAGATTTAGGTAAAAGAGTAGCCTAGATAGAGTTTTGTCTCCGTGCAGAAGTGGGAAGGACATGGGGATAATTCAAAACCTCCCTATTGATGAGGCTGAAGTCGGCCAAGTATCTGTGCTTGGTCTATGATGATAGACTCTTTTTTTCTCAGTGGGGTTTTAAACCTCTCCCCTAATCTGGGTGACCCCAGAGCATCACATAGCTCTCAGGGCAGATTACAGGCCAGACTCTTCCCTAATAAGGAAACTGCTCTAGCAAGTATCTAGGGATTCCTAGAAACACCCGACCCAGCTAAGGATCTTAGTCCTGCAGTGACCTTCATTGTACTTGGAGATCCCTCCCCTACCTTCATAGGATGATTAAGCTGTAGTTTCCTTCTTGTGAGAGGACCATGAAGCATCCCTGACCACAGGGAATCAACCTCAAAACCCTCCCTCTGCTCAGGGTTTATGTCGCCCTTGATTTCATATGAATAAAGACATGTGCCTTCTCACTTCAAGACAGATTCCTCATTATCCACAGCTGGCTGTGTCTCACCAGGTCTTCTCTCCGGCCTGCTGCACCTTTGCCTCACCAGGCCTGTGTTTTGGCTGCAAGCTGACCAGGCATGGGCTTTGGCCTGCACCCCTGCCATGCTCAGCACAGCAGCTTGACCAAGAGTTGTAACACTTTGGTATCTGCCTTGGGCTTTGGACCGCCGGAGCTTCCATTGCCACTGGGGATGTCATGCTAAAAGAGCAAATCTGTAACACCGTGGAAAACCTTTTCCACACCCCTGCTTAGCACACCTGGGCCTCACCCTAAAGCATTCTAGCTGCCTGTGAGAGAAATGGAACCCCATTCTCCGTCCAGAAGCCAAGTTCCAAGACCCCAGCCGGAATTCAGGCCCCTGCCTGCCAGAGGACAACAGGCCTGCTCATCCAAGCTGTGGTAACCAGACACCTTAGCCACATGCCCAGTTGTCTCTTGCGTCCCTTGGTTAGGCACAACTGAAAACCTCTGGACAGGACTAAGCTACAGGGTAGCCCTAGTCATCAAGGAGCAAGCCCCAGGCTGCTACTCTCTGGCTGATTTTGCTGTGCGCAGAAGCAAGAGGGAAGCAGACTGAGGCGCCCCTCCCATGAATGGAGAAGGAGGAGGCCTGATTCCTCTCAGCATTCTTGCCTAACAGGCCTCTTTTCTCTAGGTCTGAGAAGGGAGGGTGGGACTCATCTTCCCTCCTTTGTTTCACCTTTATCCTTAAAATGGGGGCTAAAGGAGATTGGATAGGAGCAGGAGCAGGAGCACATATCAATCACACACAGGAATCGAGAGAAGGAACCGGAAGTGAGGGAGGTGATACTCTCTCAAAGCCAGGCTGGGAGATGCGTCTTCCACTAGGCTGCATTTCCTTAGGGCTCCACAACCTCCCCCAAACATGCCACCAGCTGGGGACCAGCTGTTCAAATACCCGAGCCCATGGAGATGTTTTTCAGTCAAATCACAATGTAAACCAAAAGTTATAAAAGTAAGGGAAGTTTTATATTCAGAGTCTCTCATCCGGTGATCTTAACCTCTGAGCCATCTTTTCAGACCCGTGATTAAAAAAAAAATTATAGTATGATGAAAAACTGCAACAATGAACAGGAACAATCACGGACATTTCTTAAAGAAATATACTGATAAAAACTGGACACCCACAGTATGAGTCTACCTAAATCTAGTTCAAAATCAGGCCCATGGTTAGTCTGTAGTATTGGCTGTCAGCACAGGATTTCTTTTGGTTTCATATGGTTATGTTGTTTTGTTATCCTAGGTGTGTGTCTTAGCTACTGTTCTGTTGCTGCGATAAAAATGCCAACCCCAGGGCCACTCAGAAAAGAAAGCAGTTAATTTGGGGCTTAAGGCTCCAGAAGGTAGGAGCCTGTGAGCGTCAAGGTAGAGAGCAAGGCAGCAGACACGTGCCTGTTTGTGTAACGTGGGTGCATGTCTGTGTGGATGTGTGCGGATAACCTCCGGCGTCATTTCTTAGGAGAGGCCTACCTTTACATTGTTATCACGTTTAGTGTGTGTGTGTGTGTGTGTGTGTGTGTGTGTGTGTGTGTGTATACACCAATGCCATGGTATGTGTGTGTAGAGGTCAGTGGACAACTTTCAGTAGTTTGCTCTTTCCTTCTAGTGTGTGTGAGTCCCAGGGATTAAACTCAGATTGTCAGGTGCGGAGGCAGGTGCTCCAGCCCACGGAGCTGTTTTGCCAGTTCTTTTTTTTTTTTTTTTTTCAATTGAGACATATCCTATGGAACTCACTTAAGACTAGGCTGATTGGCCAGTGAGCCCCAGGGATCTGCTTGTCTCTGCTGTCCGGCACTGAGGTTTTTGAGTGTGCTGTGTTTGGTGCTTTCTTTCTAGCTATCTTCTTTCCTCGTTGCTTGCTTTGTTGCTTGCTTGCTTTCATGCAGATTCTGGGGAGAGAACTCAGGTTGGTCATGCTTATACAACAAGCACTTTTCCAACTGAGTTATCTTCTCAGCCTTCCTAGGTAGATTTTCTTAATCTCATTTTCCAAATGAAGAAAGTGAGGCCTAAGTATTTACACAGTGTGCTGCAGGCTAGCATGCCGTGAGAAACAACAGCCAGGTCCCAGCAGGCTGCGAAATCCGTGGAAGCTGGATCAGGCTTCCCGCCCTCCCCTGGGCTCCACAGCTCTCCATGTGGGTCTCCAGCCTCTTCTCCCTTTGGCCAGGATCTGGGTTTCGATGGAGAAACGTGTTCTTTCCCTAGGATAACCAGGTGGTTCTCTTCCGTGCTAGAGCTGCCTGGGAGGAAGTGTGCTGTGGTCTCTGTTTTCTTAACCCTGCGCAGGTGAGCCTCGGGAGCTGAGGTGCCCTCCATCCCAGCACCTTCGACCGGCTGGAACTTTCCTACGAGCTCCAAAGGGGCAGCAGTGGAGGAGACAGATGGGACTCACCTGTCCCATCAGAACTAAAAATAAGAAAGGAGGCTACGGTGAGCTGTCACTGTGGCATAACGGCGCCAACTGACACATTCCAGTTGCTGTTTCCAGTGAAAGGCTCTGTCTAAGCACGGCCGACTCCATCATCCAGCATGGCTGGAGATCCTTCTGGTCACCTATTAGGGCACTCTCAGCCGGAATAGGGGTGGGACCACTCAAGAAAAGGACACCGAAAGCAGTGTCTTCTGGAATACAGGGGAAGGCGATACCCCGTGAAGGAGTGAAATCTAGACTTGCTTAGCACACGCTGCCTGAACCAGCGCTGCATCCAAGCCGCACAGTCCCCTTCACAGGGGAGGTGAGTAATAAGTCTCCAGCAGCCTTCTGCCGGGGAAACACGAAAGCGCTGCCTTCCGTTTAAAATGCATGTTTTCAACAGCACTAGCGTTGGTGAACTGAATTAGAATTTTAAGTGGAATTTTGAGCTTCTTCAGATAATTTTTCAAGTTCTCAGGGCAGGATGTTTAGTCTGGGGCCTTCCCCTATCAGAGATCCTGAATGAGAAGGTTTTCCAGCCGAGCTGGGCAGCAGGAGGAACAAGAGTTCAAGGCCAGCCTGGGCTGTATGGAGATACCCTGTCTTAAACAAATGAAATAATGTCGCAGCAGGGGTGGACCTGCGTGGACATAAGGAACAGCATTTCCCTAGGCCCATGTGGATATGCTGAAAACAGGGTCTAAACATGCCTATATGGGGTGGGCTGACTCACAAACATGGGATTGTTTTCCTGGATTTCCAGGTTTAGAGTTCCAGGGGAGCAGGCCTAACAGGGAAGGACAGGATCTCTGTCTGTCTCACACAGTGGGATCTCTAAATAGAAACTCGCTCCATCACAAGCTTAAATGTTCTCTTCGGTACCTTTCTCATCCCTAGGACTTCCAGAAGGGATGTTTGGCCGCCTCTCAAGATGGGCTTTCTTAGTTATTGACAAAAGGGGCCCATTCGTTCTGAGTACCCGATGGCAGACTGTCATCCCCAGAATCTTTTCCTAGGCTCACATTGCTGTCTCAAGAGTGGGTCTTACAATGGGGACTATTGATGAAGCTACAGTATTTCTTAGCATTGAGTTTTGTTGTTGTTGTTTTTTATTTTAGATTCTATTAAAAAGTTTTATTGTGATAAAACACACATAGCACGGGCTAGAGAGATGGTTCAGCCATAAAAGGCTCGGCTCACAACTGACACACCAAATTACAGATAGCATAAAATTTACCATTTTAACTCTTTTCAGTGCACAGCTTGGTGGTGTTAAATGCATCCCACAGTCAATAGCCATAACTCTTTTCATCTTATAAAATAAGAGACTCTACCCTTATTAAATAATGATTTCTCAGTTTCCTTCATCTCTGGCCCCCTGCAACAACCAGCTTGGTTTTATAAGATTTCCTAGAAATTGGAATATAAGATGTCAATGAAGGTTTTTAGGGAATATGGACATAAGTTCATTATATTCCTCCATTTAAAAAAATTAAGGAGGAAGAATTTCTTTGTCTCGGACCAAAATTAAAGTCTCTGGGGACAAGCCGAGAGCGGGTGGGTTGTCCAACTGCACGCGGTGGCCAAGAACAAAGAGCCCTGTTCACACAGGCAAAACAGCGACACCTGCTGGTGGATCGCAAAACTACTTTTCAGACAGTCCCACGGCGGCTGAAGGTTTTGGAGAGAGACAGACACATCCTGTCTCACTGTGCGCTGCTGGCTCCTGTTCGGAAAAGCTGCGGTCCAGTCCTGGGCTACGACTTTTCTGGGAAAGAGACTGCACAGATAGTTTACCGCGATGTGCTGCTTTGATTGCTCACCGAGGCCAGAGTTCTTTGAGCTAAGGCAATCTTTCCCTGCCGTGTTTTCCCCATTAATTTTAATCCGCGGACGGTAGTGAAAGGCCCTGCAGGGCAGATCTGCAGAAAGAGGATTCCTTCCAAGGCCAGCTAGGAGACACCCCGAGGTGCGTGTCTGGGGAAGAGGGGTCCTGCTCCAGTCTAGCTCAGCTTACCTTGGCCAGCTGCTAATTCTGCGGTGCTGAACCGTCCACCGCCACTTCTAGGACCACAATATCCGGCGGAGGGGCTTTTCGGATACCTAGTAGGTGAAGGTTGGCTGCTTCCCTTCTCTCAACAACCTCCCCTCTCCCACCTCACACACAACCTCATCTTCTAGAGGGCCAGGAGCCCTAAGCTCAGAGATGCTCTGTTCCCTGTCTAGTCCTTCCAGCTCCCTGTATAGACATGACTTGCTATTTACTCCAGACACAATAAACCGCCAACAGAATGTCTCCTCAGCTGCTTCCCTGTCTGAATGCCTTTGACAATAATGCACAGCTCTGCCAGTCATGTCAGTCTCAATGCAGGCTCCAAAGCCATGGCCTCAGTTTTCCTTTCTTGAAAATGGGGAAGATAATCCTAATCCATTTCCTGGGGATGCTTACCAGGTGAGCACATGGGCTTCCATCACACCCAGCCTAGCCAGGGTACACAGTGTGGTTATTATTATTATAGCGTTATTATTTGAATACAGTCTTTTCCTCACTTCTGTTGCCTCCTGGAGTTAACTGATACAGCTGTGGACACACAGGCTCCTCCCTGCTGCCTTCTCCCACTGATTCTGGGGGCTGTGTCCATCAAACTTTTCTTTTTTTCTTCTTCTTCTTTTTTTTTTCTTCTTCTTCTTCTCTTCTTCTTCTTCTTCTTCTTCTTCTTCTTCTTCTTCTTCTTCTTCCTTCTTCTTCTTCTTCTTCTTCTTCTTCTTCTTCTTCTTCCTCCTCCTCCTCCTCCTCCTCCTCCTCCTCCTCCTCCTCCTTCTTCTTCTTCTTCTTCTTCTTTTTTCCCAAGACAAGGTTTCTCTGTGTAGCCCTGGCTGTCCCAGAACTCACTTCTGTAGACCAGACTGGCCTTGAACACAGAAATCCACCTGCCTCTGCCTCTTGAGTGCTAGGATTAAGGGTGTATGGCGCCACTGCCTGGCCCCGTTTTGCTTTGTTTTGTTTTTGAGACAGGATCTTGCTATATATAGTTCAAGCTGGCCTTAAACTGACAGCGACCTCCTGCGTCAGCCTCCTGAGAATGGGGTTACAGTAGTGCACCTCTGCTATACCCAGCTAAACTAGTACTTTTAAAATTCAGTTCTTGCTGGGTTACTTCCTAGTCATTCTTCAAAAATCAGCTAGACTCTCTTGCCTACCTATGACTTCTTTACAGCCCGACTTGTGCCTGTATTTGCAAATTACAGCTTCACTAGTCCTCCAGGCACACTGTCTATTCCAGGCAGGGGAACATGCATTTTCTCTCTCCCCTACCCCCCACATGTTTTGTTTTCTGTTTTTTTTTTTTTTTTTTTTTCTTTTTTTCTTTTCCAGACAGGGTTTCTCTGTTTTGGCTCTGGATGTTCTGGAACTCACTCTGTAGACCAGGCGGGCCTCAAACTCACAGAGATCTGCCTGCCTCTGCTGCCCAAGTGCTGGGATTAAGAGTCATTCACCCAGTTGTGTGCTCTCTCTTGATTCTGGCTCCATACCTTTGTTTATGCAGTCATTTGGTTCCTTATCTCATCTTCATCATCATCATCATCATCGTTGTCATCATCATCGTTGTTGTCATCGTCGTCGTCATCATCGTCATCATCACTACCAACATCATCAGTTCGTTTTGAGATAGTTTGTTTTGTCACATAGTCCAGGCTGACTATCTGATCCTCCTGCCTCCACCTTCTGAGTTCAGAGTTGCAGATGTGTTGAGGCTCATGTGTACAAATCCAGTGCCCAGCCACTAGTGTTAACAGTGTTAGTTTTTATTGTCCTGTGTACACACACAAGGGAACCAAACAGCTTGCTTTATGATTAGTCATGCTTCTGGGCAATTCACAGCCATCTGACGACACTGTGTGGCCTTTAAGCAGGCATGGATTCATTTGACAAATATTTATTAAGATCCTGACTGCTTCCAGGGACTTCCTGTAGTGCAGGTGTGGATTTCAGTTTTGTTATTATTATTTTTTTCACATGGTATGGCCAGCCATTCATATCCAGAATAAACAGGCACTGCAAATACACTGGTAAAGGGGGCTTTGAGTTCAAGTCCTGTCTTAGCCTTGGGCAAACAATCTGCCTCAGCCAAGCCCCATTTCCTCCGCACTGTGGAATGGGCTGTTTTCTTATTTGTTGGAGTCAACTTTGGGTCTTGCCATGCAGTGGCCAGGCAGGTACTGGCCCTCTCTCAGATCTGGTGATCTGGCACTCCCCCAGCTTGTCTGTGACTTCTTGCTCTTCTCCTTCCCCTCTGTAGAGAACAGCCTTCCTGAGGCCCTCTGACCTTGTTCATATTTGCCCTCATTTCCATTGTCTTAGGAAAGAGAGGCTGCAGCTGCCACCTCGAGCACTCTAGGGGAGGAAGAACATGTGTGTCTTTTCCTCTTTATCTTCTTTCTCTTTTTATTTCCCCGACCTTAATTAAATCACACCTATATGGGGCTGCAGAGATGGCTCAGAGCTTAAGAGTACTGGCTGCTCTTCCAGAGTTCCTGAGTTCAATTCCCAGCAACCACATGGTGGCTCATGATCATCTATAATGAGATCTGGTGCCCTTTTCTGGTGTGCAGGCAGAACACTGTAAATGTAATAAATAAATAAATCTTTAAATCACACCTGCGCATTCTCTATATGCACACACACTTCGACTTACATGTATGCGCCTTGAGGGAAGATCCCATGATATGTTTAAATCCAAACCATACCTGAATGTCCCTAGCACACTTCCAGCCCCAGCTTCCTCACAGATGGAAAGTGCCTGAGCTACTGCTGTCATGGAACACTGTCCCCAGCCCCCAACAGCTTCCAAGTTTGGATGGGTTGTGAACTCTGCCACCCCCACCCTTTTCTCCCTTCCCAACAGAATCCGGATTTCCAGAGCTAGAATTCAGGAACCTGGATGTCTGACAAGCACCCAGGTGATTCCTCTCTAACTTGCTACATAGCCAGTGATGACCTTGAACGTCTTTTCTTTTTGTGTGTGTGCATTTGTGTGTGTGTTTGTGTGAGTGTGTGCATTTGTATGTGTGTTTGTGAGAGAGAGAGAGCATGTGCACAGCATGTAGAGGTCAAAGGCCAATTTTGATGTCGGTCCTGACCTTCGCTTTGTTTCCCAGAGGCTCTCCGATGGCTTCTGCTGGGTAAGCTGGGCTAGCCAGGGAATGCTGTGTTCTCTGCTTCCCCCTTGCAGAGCGTGAGCGCTGTTGTGCTCAGTTTTCAGTTTCTCACTGGCAGGCGCTTTTCCAGTGAGTTATTTCCCCACCCTCAACCTTGAACTT